ATGTCTTCGATATTTTTGGTACGTTTTAGAGCTTATAGCGGCTAATAATGATGAAAGTATCTAGAGAGAAAAGGAAAAAGATAGACTATGTTGTGAAAAAATATAATATCGAACAAAAATCGACATAATTAAATGACATTATTACTGCCTTTTACTAGTTGATACCAAAAATAACTTCTGAGAAATTTATAATTTAGAAATAACCGTATGGTTAGGTTCAAACTACTAAACGATCTATGTTTTTGATATAAAATCCAAAATATTTATGATCATTAACCTTCTTTGAACGAGAGTGTCTGGTGAATAGGAATAACTTTAGAATATAAGAAATTTACCCTACTTGAGAACAGAAGAGGCCTGAATAACGCATTTCCTTTTCCTGCTTCCTGGATACATTTCAATTTGATTCCTCTTATAACTTAAAAATCTTCAAAACCGAGGACTTACTTGTTAATAAGACTTTGATTGTCACGTTTTGTGCTTCCATATACGAGAGACTGATCAATCCAAAAATCTTTAAAAATTAACGAAAATTAATTATCAAACATTATGGTGTTGAAGCTAATGCCTAGGTCACATTTAAGCCGATGGTCGTTAATTGAATTTTTCTGGTCTTGTCGGCTGAAAGAATATGATCGGCCGACATAGTATCGGGCGACTCAGAGCACTCACATTATTTCCAAGGGACACCATTGACTTTGATAAATAATACAAAAATCATTTTTCTTTAGAAATCAGCAATATTTTTTCATATATCTATATTCAGATAGGTAACGTGAGTAATGTTTGCAAGGCAAAGTGGCGGATTCTTATAACATTGTGACTCAATGTTGAAAATGTGTTCAAAATTTTGTTTAGATTTGCATAAAAACGACAAATGGTGCATATCTTAGCAGCAAAGAATACTTAAGGTTACTTAATATGCTTCGAATTAAATGAATATATATTATTTCCGTTCAAAAAATTTAAATCAGTCCATGCATATAAAATTTGTTTGTGTTTGGTATCTTTACTGGGTTTAATATTCAAAAGTCGGACAATCATCGCCCGATCATAGAGTTCTGAGCTACAGTTTGATTTTAACCGTCTGCCGAAATTTTCAATACTCTTACTGTCCAACGACGGACGACCGACTTAATAAACTGACCGCCGATGATAGACGATGATCGAAGGCTAATCGTCGGATAACTTTAATTGAAGAAATTGGCCACTGACGCATAAAAAAATATAACTTAGACCGATGGACACAAAATTGGTCGACCGACAAAAAAAAGGTAAATATCGGCCAAGACAACGACCGAAAAACTACGACTGTCATCCGAAAAATCCCATTTTTGTATCAAAACCCATCGGCCGTTTTTCGTTTTTGGAAATATGCCTGGGGTTTAAGGAATTCAAGTATTTTTGGTTCGTTTAATAAATCTTAAAAAAATAAATATCAGAAATGAGCAGGGTTACAACATGCATTTTTCAGGTGTAGATGTACAGGTGTATATCGACCCCATTCGTTCTGATTCCTCAATTTAAGACGTAGCCCTCAATTTACCTTTGAACCTTTTTTTGCAATAAAGTTCTATGTTCGAGCAATGAACTTGTCCTCAAATACAACCTAGCATTGAGTCAAATGCTGACTGACGTTTTTCATACTAAGTGTTAGTCCATTATTTATATACTGAATTGACAAGACAGTTTTCCGTTTTTTTTTCTGATCATGACAAGGAGCACACGGCAGGTGTGACCGGTCAGCAGGGATTGCTCACTCCTCCATGGCACCTGATCCCACCTCTGATGTTTAGGAGGTCCGTGTTTGCTGTGCTGTTATTTTGTATTGTTTTATGGACTCTGAGATTGAATACTGTTTGTTATCTTTTTCTTGCAATAACGAAGAATGAGACAAATTTCACTGCATTGTTACCCTTAATGTTTGATGTAGACCGAAATCATTTTCAAATATACTAAAATCATTAAAGAGCTCAAGGAACTGTATTCTTCTAATTTTACATAGTATTATTATCATATTAATCTAAGGTTTCCCAGGTATTTAATCTTATAGAAATTGTTTGGTATTTGTTTATTGATTGGCAAAGAATCTTATTCAAACTTCAATATCAATTAATGTACATTCGTCGTATAAAAATAAAAAAAAATGATGTCATATTTTTAAAAACAAAATATCGGTTTCAAATTTAATTTGTAAATTTAAGAATATTGCTTAAAAAAAAGGCAAGCCATGTTATGGTTTATGATTCTACTAATATCTACATCATATTCGAACCAAACTTTACTCTGTCCCTTTGAAACTTTTAAATTGTCTTCTTGAAAAGACCAAGGAACATCCAAATTTAGATTCCTCGACATCTGAATATAGGCTCGGTTCTGTGATTATGGATATTGCACATCATAGGCTTTTTAAACCCGCACGTTTCACGGAAGAAAATGCAGCTAAAACAATCCGTCTTTTCCTTAAACTTCAATATGCCAATAAAGGAATTGACGCGGTAAATATTAGTAATATTCTTAATCACAAAAGGGTCCAGTCTTATATTCCACCATATTTCAAGTTAAAGACTACGCCTTGTATTTCCTACAAATATACATCGACCATTGCTTCCAAACTTTTCAATTACAAAAATACTTTACATGGCCTGGATATCGACTATCTGAAAAATAATCCCCTTTCGTGTTCATGTTCTTCTTCGCCCTATAACTATAGTCCTGCTGGACACGTTATTACAGGTGACGTAAATATAGTTCGTAATGAGGACCTTAGATCACTTATTTTAAAAGGTCCTAAATATAGGGAACCCCGATCCTTCAACTGGCGTCAGAATTTCATAAATATTATGGATTCTGTTGAAAATTACGCCAGACGATGGGCTAGATATGAAAAAGAAGACATTGACACTTTGTCAGAATGGATTAAATGTATCAGATCCATGTTAAAGTCACGTATTAAAAGATTGAGGGGCAAAATGAAAACCATCTATCCTTCTGTGTTCAATAAACCAGAAGTGAAAAAAGAATTAGATAGATTACACGATCAGTACGTACTGGTTCCTGCCGACAAAGCAGGTAACAACATTGTCTTTGTTTGTAAGGCTCATTATATTAATTGCATTTTAGAAGAACTTGGATTTAATTCTACGAGTGGTAATCCTACTTATACATATGCTACTCTTTCTAAGGAAGAAATTCTTCAAAATCACCTGTCAGTTTTGAATACTTTTAATATTCCACAGAGCCAAAATGAATTTGAACTACCTTATATATATTGGATTCCGAAACTTCATAAGAATCCTTACAAACAAAGATACATTGCAGGTTCCAGTAAATGTTCAACCAAGCCTCTTTCGTTACTTCTCACTAAAATATTGACAGTAGTGAAGGAAAAACTTCACGAGTACTGTACAACTATATATTCAAGAAGTGGTGTAAATCAGATGTGGATACTTAAAAATTCTAAAGAACTTTTGGACAATTTGAAATCACAAGACTTTACAAAAATCAACAGCATAAAAACTTACGACTTTTCAACTTTATACACAACAATTCCGCACGACAAATTAAAATCCAGGCTTTTTGATATCATTGACAGCTGCTTCTTCAACAAAAATGGAACTCGTAAGCTTACCTACCGCGTCATTGGTCATTTGAAAAATTATTTTGTTAAAACAGATTCTGATTGTACACATAAGTACTCTGAAGTTGACATCAAGAAGATGCTTGAGTTTCTGATTGACAATATCTATGTGGTTTTTGGAGACCAAGTATTCCAACAATCTATTGGAATTCCCATGGGTACAAATTGCGCTCCGTTATTAGCAGACTTATTTTTATATTCATATGAAGCAGAATTTATGCAAAATATTTTGTGTGAAAAGAAAAAAACACTTGCTGTGGCCTTCAACTCGACATTTAGATATATCGACGACGTATTGTCAATTAATAATGATAATTTCCATTCCTACGTCGACACGATATATCCTGGTGAGCTTGAGATAAAAGATACCACAGAGTCCAACACATCTGCTTCATATTTGGATATTTTACTTGAAAAAGACACAAATGGTAATCTAACAACCAAGCTATATGATAAACGTGATGACTTTAACTTTTCTATCGTCAACTTCCCTTACTTATGCAGCAATATACCTTCATCACCTGCATACGGAGTATTTATATCTCAGTTGATTCGATACGCAAGAGCATGCTCTACGTATGAACAATTTCTTAAACGAGGTAAATCATTGACAAGCAAGTTGATGAAACAAGAATATCAACAGTCTCGTTTAAAGTCATCATTTCGTAAATTCTATGGTCGATACAATGACCTTGTCAGCAAATACAATTTATCATTGAATGAAATGCTGACTGACGTTTTTCATACCAATTGTTAGTCCATTATTTATACACTGAATTGACTACGGATTTTTTTTCCGTTATTTCCTGATTATGACAATGAGCACACGGCGGGTGTGACCGGTCAGCAGGGGATGCTCACTCCTCCATGGCACCTGATCCCACCTCTGATGTTTCGGAGGTCCGTGTTTGCTCTGCTCTTATTTTGTATATTTGTTTAATGGACGTTGAGATTGAATACTGTTCGTTATTTCCATATCCTTATCTAAATAAAGAACTCGCTTATAAGTTTATAACACGTCTAATTTTAGTGCGCATTGCTCTCCATAGCAAAGAATGGAAGTCGCTTATTTATGAAGCTACAACCAATAGGTAGTGCAAAGTATTGTCTTCTGTCAGCATCCAGTCTGACAATGCCCTACACATATATTTTACATTGCACAGGAAAGTTTATGTGTTAAGCCAAACAAATTTACGAATGATTCTTACACACAACTGTTGTGTGCAAGACGGTAGTATCGTTATTCATAAAACGAAAGTTGATCAATCTAAATTGTACAAAAAACATCATTGTTCAAATCTAAATAAGAATTAGAATTGCCTATTATGTCAATATTTATTAAATATAATGAAGTATTTACCGATTAAAGTTATCCTTGTCCTTGCTTCAGCACTACGGGATATTCTCCATGATCAGCGTAAGAAAGAACATAAATGCTGTGCGGTTTTAGTGCAGGTAACCTTTATCAAATATCCGGGTTACCTGCGTATCTCTGTAATTTCGCACAAACACAATACTCTTTTATAATCAAACACATGCATGCATAACGCCTGAGGTTCAAGTAACAAAAGCCCTGAATACCTTTAAAATTCTTTAAAACGCTGCACATATATATCCAGATTGATAATGCTTAATTTCTATGATCTTGATTCATACAGAACTAAAAAAAGCGCAATTTAAGGTAATTCCACCCTCCAATGATGTCATAGGTTTTTGCAAAAACTGTAATTAGTTTAAATCTATACCCAATAAAACAATATCTCTTGGAAGAATGCTTTACAATAGGTGTAATGATAAATATTGTAAGTTAAAAAAAATTAAAAATGCAATTTTTCTATATTTATTCAATTTTCAATATTTAGAAAATGTTGACAAGAGCAATAACTCTTTCTAAGGTCTTTTCATTTAGGCATTTGCTTTATTGTCAAATAGTTTCTCTGGTTTTCACAATTCAAAAGTATCTTTTAAGTAGGAAGTATTTAGGGACACTCGGCATCAGGATTATGCATTTTAACCAGTTTTTTCATATTTTCATAATACAGTTTACAAAAAATGTACGATTTTTATGTTGACAAACACTTTTGTTTATTTATGTTTCGCATCTTAAATAATATGGTGACCTATACATTTTTTGCAATAATTGGAAAGTTTAAAGTATATAAAAAGAAAAAAAATAAATAAATGCAGTTTTTGTAATTTGAACCTATGAAATTGTGAGTGTGGAAACACCTTAAGTTTTAAATTTAAAAAATATATTTATTGTTGGATTTAAAGGATGGCGGCCCCCAACCCTTTTAGCCCCCAAAACACACACTATTTGACAAAAAAAAATAATGTTTTTTTTTTCGGGTTGTCGACCCCAACCCTGCCCTCAAACTCCCCACCCCCCTTTCAAAATATCTGGATCCGCCACTGATTTTGACCCGTAGAGGTGATCAAAGTTGATAATGTACGTAATGTACTGAATGATACGTTTAACATTCAGAAGAAACTGAACACTGATTTTTTTTTTCAATCCTTTGCGGTGGGGTTCGGTTGGGTTGCATGGGGATGCCCCACCCCCCTTAAAAATACAAAAGGCAATCTTTAAAAAAATCGTTTGTTTGTCCTCTCTACAAACAAGAGCGACAGAAGGAAATGTTCTGACTCAAATTTCTTTTTACATTCAATGATATGGGAGATCGAGAGCTAGCAAACATTAAATAAAGATATCTTAACGATTAAAAAATAGGTCAAGCAAAACAATTATATACCAGAAAGTAATAACAAAAAGTGGTCAAAAAGAAAGATATATGTCAGGAAATAAATGAAATTCAATTTTCATTGAATAACGTATCTAAATAAACACCAGGTGAAGTGCACATATACATTTTTTCTTCGATTTTATTTTTTGTGATAGGAAAACTGAAAATAGCTCGTGCAACTTTATCAGTTCTAATGATGTTATATTTCAAATAAGCTTCCTTTTAAAGCCTATTTACTTGTATAAATAGGGAACACAAATAACAGCAAAACTGTACATTCGTCAATTTTACTAGTACTTATTGCTAGTACTTATTATCACAAATTGCTCCCAAATGTCAAATCGCAACTCAGTACTGTTAGGTTGAAAAATGAAAATAAAATTAAATGTTCTTTGAAGATAAAAATACATACTTTACAAGGATAGACATTCTTATGGAACGCCATCACTGCCTTATAGCATAAAACTATGCTTTCATTATGTCAATCTATCATTACGTGATGTGAACATATCTTTAAGTTATGTCAATTTCTTATGGGGTGATGTAAAAATATCTTTACATCATGTCAATGCTGCATTACATGAAGTAAACACATTCTTCCATTATGTCAGCACTTTATAACTTGAAGTCGGAAGTTCATTATATGAAGTGAAAATTATGTTCACATTGTGTTAAAACTTTATTACGTGAAATGAATGTTTCTTTATATTATTTCATTTCTTTAATATGTGAGGTCAAAATTGCATTACGTCAAGTAAATTGTGTTTTATAATTAAACTTATCATAACATGAAGTCAAAAGTCCATTCCTTTTTGAGAATGTATATGTCTATTAAATCAAAGCATTATTACGTGATATGGATTTATCTTTATTTTACGGCGAGAGCATCATGATGTGAGGTGAACACATCTTACCTTTATGTCAGCGCTTTATTACGTGGTGTTAAAAGTGTATAACATAATGTGAACATATCTTTATATTATATCAACACATTATTACATTATGTCAAAACTCCATTCCGTGATGTGGATATATAATTACGTTATGTCAACTCTTTCTTATGTGATTTAAAAAATATCTTTATATTGTGTTAAGTCTTTATCATGTTGATTCCAAAAGTTTTGATGTGAAAATACATTTACATTATCTGAAAGCTATATATCTAGTACATGACTGTATAATAATGAATGTTGACCACCGTGTTTTAATGACTCGTAGGAGGGGGGGGGGGGTCCCGATTGAGTAGGACGAATTATAGACACATAATATCAGCCCCCCTCTTTTCCCAGACATAACCTTATTTTAGAAAATGTAATGTTCGTTGGAAGTACAGCCCCACCCCCACTTATTGTTGAAGTATAGTCCACTTGGGGTAATGTAGTATAACTGAAAAAAATAAAGGACTGAATGATCGAAGTCGGACCCCCTCTCCAAAATAGGATTTTCGGGCTTGGACAATTTTTTTGGCTTGTCGAGTTTTTTTCGGGTAAATAGTTAGCTCTGTGTCACCTATGGAAGAGTCCATTACTAATGTACCCGATTCACGAACTTGGATATCAACTGAAGTGAAAATTGGGTCAAGGAGCGTGCTCGATGTGTGCGTAATTCTTGTAGGTTCGTGGATATTATTAACAAGGTTATGTGTTGAGATAATTTCATGGATGATGTGTGATTGTGGAGTATTAAGGAGATCAACATTAATATCACCGACTAAAATTATTTTATCCGATTTTTCACTCATTTTGTCACCACACCATGAAAGTTTGGTTCAAAAACCACTATCAGAGTTCGTAGCAATCGCAACTTCTCGGGCCTTTCCGACTAGCTGAAAAACGACCTCGAATGTATATGGTAGCCGCCATGACAACCCTCCTTTTTCACGATCTTGAAAATAAATGCATGGAGATCTTTTATCTGTGGAATATGGAGTTTTACTTTATTCAACGTAATGATATTACCTAAAACATACCATATAAGGGACTTCTAAATTCGTCTATCCTATATTTGAATAAACAGGAAATGTATAAATTTTTAACATCCGGTGATGTTAATACATTCGAGGTTGTTTTTCCGACCTCTGACGGAAAAACCCGAGATGATGCGATTGAGTTCGGAGGACGATATACACAGCACAAAACGATTTTAGCGGTATGGCTATCAATTTCAATACAAATACATTCAATGTCAGAGGGTTCAAAATCATGGTGTCTAATAACACGTATTTGACTAGAAAAATAGATCATGACACCTCCCCCGAAACAGTTCCTATCTTTTCGTATTATATTACAAAACCCATCCAAATATAGGTCATCGTTATTTACTGTTTGGTCAAGATTGGTTTCGGTAAAACATAAAATATCGAAGTCATGAACGAAAGAGTTTAAGTGATCTAATTTGTGTGTAATACTTCGACTATTAAGGTGTAGAATGTCAAGGACAAATTATAAATTGGGCCCAGATTAACCTCAATATCAACACATGCCAATAAAACAAATGTGAAAAATTGTAAATAAAAATTAATGTACACAGATTTACGGGCAATGGATGTCAAGCAGTGAGCAAGTATTCTGAAAACTTTTTTTCGTTAGTTGCAAAAACGTGCGCATTGAAAAAGAACGGTCATAAACATGTTTTTGATGTACATCTGACAGATAAATAGAAAAGACCGATTGCAGTACGATATTGTTCAATGGAGTAACCCATTATCTACCTTGTGACAAAAATATATGTTAAACAAAAAGCTGCAATCGGTAGCTGCTAAATTGATAACACACTCAAAAATACACATATTTGTTTGCATGACTAAGAAAGTTTGGATATAATGCATAGTTCAAAAAGTTAACAATAAAATAATAGAAAGTACACATGTAACACAAACAAAAAATAAACAGGAAAAACAAATGGAAAGCGAATAGGTACTTGAAATAAAGTGAATAATAATATACATGTACTGTACACTTTTGTTAACATAAGAACACAACAATTGTGTAATTGTGTTGAAAAGGTTTCAAGTTGTGGGAAAACTGTTAAGGTATGGTATCTTCACAAAAGTAAGTTGCGGAGTGCATATACAAAGTACCGGTAACTGAAATGTATATACATTGAATATACAAGAGATGCAAATAATGCATAGGGTATAAGGAATTGAGAAGTTGTGGATAATGTTGGTATATTCTGGATAATAAAAAAGAAAACATATTTGATTTTAGCTTTTGTTATGATTGACATTTAATTTTTAATGTCATGTTGAAATACTTGAGAATATCAGAAAGGGTTGAAAGTTTGTCATAGGGAATTTTGATGGAAAAACACCTACACTGCCTCCTGAATTACATGTCCGAATTCGACTAAGTCTGATTCGTCTCTGATGTGATGGTACTTATCGCGATTTTCCTTGACAGTTATTTTTCCATTGGAGGATCGGGCATTTTGGAGGCGCTTTTGACGGCATAGTTGTCGGCAGAGAAAGAGCAGTCTATCGCGAAATTTTGTCAAATCCTCATTGACCGAAATTTGCATGATTTTCTCGTTGTCGCGAAATTTGCTGGATTTTTTAAGTTTTGAAATTTAGTGTCAACAGATTTCAAGCGAGCTATAATTTGGCCTGGACCTGTTCGTTGTTTTTTGGGGTTCCCAACTCTGTGCGAGTTAACTATAGCATCATTTGACAGCTCTATTCCGGCAATTGAGGTAGCCTCAAGGGGTTTAAAACGGGTGTTTCCCCTTC